ATATATTTTTTCGTATGTTTTATCATAGGTATATTTCTGCATTTAGGAAAAGAGACAAAACTGTAAATATAAGCTACACTTTGAATTCATTAGAATTTTTAATTCATTTCATATTTATTTAGTGTATTACCTGTTTATTAGCCAATAAGGTTTATTTCCTCGCTTATATTATTTTTAGGCAATTATTTCGAAATTTCCACCAATTTCAATAAGAGAATTTTTCTCACGATACAAAATACATGGCAAAAGCAACGCCCTTTTTTGAGTTTGTTGCGAAAGAAATAATCAAATGTAACAAGCTTTAACATAATTTATCTCTATCGAAGTTCATTAATTAACTTGAACCTTTAAAAAGGTAGAAAGCAGCGCTAAGCCCAGTGGCAGGCCTAATTTACGTAAGACAGCCATGCGACGTAGTAAGTTTGAACCTTCATTCCATGGGAACGAAAAACTTTGCTTTAGCCTGTAACACATATTAAGCTTAGGACTACTAAACATATATACAAATATGATTATGTACATAGTTATATGTATATGTATGTATATGTCAGTGCTCAGTTAGCTTGAAGCTGTTGGATGAACTCGCTAATCATGAAATTATGATAACAATAAGAAGTTGTTGTAGGTACACGTATACACGGTCACGTATAAGGCTCACCTAATTAACTCTCACTAATTTGATACAATTTTGCATCAATTTCACAGCGCACGCACCATAAGATGGCGACACTGACGATTGCAAGGGCAACAGCGGCAACGGGGCGTATGAGTGCTGTGGCATTAATTATTTGCGGCGCGCTGCTGATGGGCGTAGCTGATGGCAGCAATGGCAATACTAGTGGCGGCAGCAGCAGCGCCACCGGACGGCCTTCACTGCTGCGCACCGAATTGCGGTTTGGACGCAACCTGGATCCATCCAAGGTGCGCGTGGTGAGCGTGAAGTCGAGCCAGGGCGAGGATGTGGAGATTCTAGTGGGCAAAAACAGCCGCAAAGCGCGCGCCGAGGAGGCAGCTGGTTCGTTTTTCGTGCGCAGCTCGGATGTCAAGCGGCCAGCGGCTCAAACCAGGAATGCCAATGCCAATGCGAATGGAAGTGGCCGCCAGCTGGTCTTCGAGCATACGCCGACGCTGTTGAAGCAGAGCGAGCTGGCACTGCAGCAGCAGGACTATCGTCAACGCAAGGCCGAGGCCGAGCAGCGACAGGCGAAGTTTATACAGCTCCAGCTGGCCAAGGCGCACAGCAAAGCCTTGGAGCAGCGGGCACTGGAGAGCGGCAGTAGCTCGCGCAGCGGCCGTCAGCTCGGCAGTAACGCCGCCTGGCAGCCAGTCTACTTCCAGGCACAGCCAATGGCATACAACAAGAACTTCTCGTTCGCCATGGAGCGCCAGTGGCAGCCATTCACCTATGCTGCCCCAGTGGAGGCACAGCCACGCGTGCTCCGTCAAGTGCAAGATACACCAATCAGTTTTCCCGGCGATCTGCAATATGCTGCCTCCGAGCCGCTGGAGTACTACAGCCGAGATGAACGCGCTTACCCCAGCCACAGATCTCGGCCACCACAGAACCTGATTACCAAGCACAACTACAACGCCTTGCCACAGAAATCGAAATTCGTCACCTATATGCCACACTCTGTGGTGGTCACGGCCAGCGCCGGCGTGGCTGCACCCACGGCCACGCCCTCACGGCGCCCCGTTCAGGCCAGTCCGCACCGCAACCCCATCGGCCAGAGCACGCACAACGTCGTCGATGGGCCCGCAGTCACACTCATCGAAGGAGTCCGCGTCCCAGACACTCCCGAGGACAAGGTGAAGACCTGGCGCAATGCGCGCGTGCTCAACAACCAGCTGGTGCCATATCCCGAGGGCTACACGCCGCCGCGCGTCCAAATGCCCAGCTTTGACAGATAGGCGCGATCGGCTGGTGCCTCCACATAGCTGCACTTGGAATATTTCTACTATATTTATTGATTTGTTTATTTGTTAAGTTATTTATAAATGTTACATTAAACTTGAAAAGTATATGCCCCAGAGCTAATGCATAAACTGATTCACGGTCCAGATATTAAAGTTCGACTTGCGCCAGATGCGTATGCAGGTGTTGGTCTCGATGATCACATGCACCACATGAATGGGCGTGGTCTGCATATAGCCATTCTCGGACAACCTGTACCGATAAGGCAGCTGCAGTTCCAGGTAAACGAATACCGCTGGATACTTCACGGTGATGGCAATGCTGAGGCTGTTCCGCTTGCCGCTGGGGGTATCCACGCATATTTTCGACGTGAACTCGAACTGTAAACGGAATACTATTAAGTTAAGAGTCTAATAAAATGGAGTGCTCCAATTGAGACCACTCGATAAGGACATAAGATTATATAATGGATGAGAACTCAATTCACTACTACGCTAGCTAGATGAGTGGTAGATTAATTAAATATACATCTAATTGCAAATTTAACTAGCAAAAATGTTCTAGTACGGGACGTAAGTCCAAAAGGAATCCTGAACCTTTTCCGATCAATCAAACCAGATTGGCACAGCTTGCCAATTGGGAGATCAATGTTACTTAAGGATTACAATAATATTTTCAGTTCATCTATACTTATTCTTTAATTACATTTCTCCTATTTCATCTATTATTAGCATTCTATTATATATTTATGTACTCTATTTATATTTATGTGTGCCACAAAGCCTTAATTTTTTGAATATGAAGTTTGAAAACTAGACGTGAAACTTGAAATTTCTAGCTGCAACGGAGTGCGAGATAATACATAATATAACATCGATAATTGATAGCTTTCAAATATCAATATCGGTAAACAAACTTTATTTGTGCGTGTTATATAAAGTTTCGCAAATTAATGTTTAGTCTCTATCCCTAATAGGTGCCGAGATCGACGAGCTCATGCAAATAGACAGGTGGACGTTGTCCTAATCAAATTATATAGTTATGGGGTCTATCACTAAAATTAATTTCATTTAATTTTCCTTCATCATATTTACAATAAAATAATTCATTGAAGTACATAATACATAGTACAGTACTCACTGTTGTAGGGAATGGAACTTACCTCTAGCTCCGGATCTTTAATTCCCACAGCACTGGCAATGTTGGTAGGAAAGAAGTAGGTGCGTGAGAGTTGAGTTTCGCCACGTCTCAGCTGAAACTCCAGATAGGCGTTGTGCTCATTGAAATCACCCTGCAACAGATCCTTTATTGGTATGATCTTGTCATACTGTACTCCATTGGGCCGCAGAGTGACTGCCCAGGTGCTCGAGTTGCGCGGCATGAGCTGCGACCACAGATGAATGTGGGCAACCACGTTCAAATTCTTGGTATCGATGGATGGCTCGTCACAGACCAATGAGATGTTTAGAGACTTCGTAGGCCTATCGTAGAGCGCCACAATGGCAACGGGAGCAAGAAAATCCCGAGCCCAATAGTGCAGCAGCTGTGTTGGTGTTATGGAAATAGCATTATCAAGAATCAAGAATCAGGAATGCAGGTAGTAAAAGCTCACCTTCCAGTTACCAAAAAAATCGATGCCAGACCACGAAGGAGCTACCCACACATCATTTAGCTGCCAGTAGAGTGCACCCATGGTATTGTGCTCCGTATCGCGCAGGGTGCGATATAGCTCCGTCTCCACCTTGGTGGCCATGGCATGCGATATTTGACTGAAGTAGATTAGCGCCTCGTCGTAGTCTTTGTCCTCGGGCAAGGGGAGCGGCAAATGCTGATGCAATTGGGTGGTTATGGGGACCATTGCAAGTGGATGGTGCTGTCGATGGCCCATGACTTGTGCCAGATCGTTGTCATTTCCTTTGGTACGCTCCCAAGCATAGGATCCGGGAAGCGATTGAATTCCATACTCACTCGCGAAGCGTGGTCGCGGGTAAATATTTGGATCCCAAGCATCCTTAAAGTAGTCATAGAAGTGCACTGCAGGCAAGGGAAAGAACAAGCAGTTTGATAAGTTTATCAGCCTTATTGTGGTCATTTAATAATACCATCTCCATTGTGGTTATCCTGTGGATTCTCCGATATGTAGTTGTCTCTCTCGCTTGCCTTGCCATTCGACGGCGAGGACACCAACGGCTCGGGGCGGCCGTTGTGTGAGACGATCTTCAGCTCGTGTATAACAGTGCCCAGGTACAGCTCGCGGTATTCGGCCTTGAAGCGATCGATATCGTGATACGTGTGATACCAGTTCTGCACGAGAGCCGCCTCATTCTCATTGTTGCCAGCAAAAATGGCAATGCTTGCGTGATGGGACAGGCGCTTGGCATTCTGGCGCACCTCTTCGCTCACCGAGGCCAGAAATTCGGGCGTCGTTGGGTACATGGCACAGGCGAACATCATATCCTGCCAAATGAGTATGCCCAGACTGTCGGCCATATCGTAGAAATAGTCCGATTCGTAAACACCGCCACCCCATACACGTATCATATTCATATGCGCTTCCTTGGCCGATTCCAGAAGGTAGGCAACTGAAAGGATATAAAAGATAAAATAATAAGATCAAATACTGAATGTATTCCAAATATTTTGTATCCATGTTTTATATCAAATACATATTATATATAGTAAATAATAAAAAAAGACTGTTTATAAACGAAAAAGATGACCCCATTCCCTATTAAAATATTGCTTATTTAGTCGATATATTAAATTTATATCAAGTCTTCTATCGGGTACAGTTTTTCATCTAAATTTACAAGCAGATAAAATAAGATACTTTCATTATATCTTAAGATACCAAAAAATTATATAAATAGTCCGGTATGATATATAAATATAATGTAGAATGAATAATCTCTTTATGTCCAATGCAGATCAGACAGAAGACACCAAGAATATTTAGAGACATATGTATTTCCCTTAGCTTGGAATAAGTTGCCATTGAATGAGCCATTTAGGTCATGGTTATCTGCTAGTCGTGCATTTTATTTTCATTATTTTCATTTCATTATTTCATTATATAAGCAATGCATTTCAGAAGCTATCAGTAAGCTCAGTTAATGAAAATTATTTAATGATGGGGTAAAACCAATCTTACATATTACATTTCAATGGGATATTCCAAGTTCTAGGTTATTTTGATTAGTTTGAAATTTCAATTGATTGTGATTTGCAAAAATAGGTTTCGTCTCTAACATATTTAAATTAAATTCATACTCACTTCTTTCTGGGCTTTGTTGCTCTGGCAATATGTGAGATGGTATATAGTTGCTGCCCTTCATGAAAATCTCCAGGCCGTTGACGCGAAACAGAAATGTGTTGCCTCGACCATCCGGTGCCGGCCGCTCAATTAGCTCCAATGTGCGAAAGCCAACGCGCAGCGACTTCTGGGACATGGTCTTGGCACGCACTTCCGGTCCAGATGGATCCAGCCAGGCGTTCAGTGTAAAGTGCAGCGGATAGAGCTTCTGATCGCCATAGCCATTGGGCCACCAGGCAACGACTTCCTCCTGCACAAACAACAAATGCACTTGACACAGATGCCAATGAGTTCAATTGCCGGCCGAGCAATTAGCGGACGGTACTCACAATTGGCACAGCCTGATCAAAGACAATTACGGGTGCCAAGTAGCTGATCGGCTTGGAGGTGTATGTGTCGATGACCACGGTCTGGTTCAGTAGCTCGCTGGAGACGTTCAACCGTTTCGCATTTAGCAGATTGGCAGCTTGATAAAGTGTTTGAGAGGGCAATTTCAAGGTCTACTTACACGGCATAGAAGACTAGTTGAGCATAAAAATTCTCTTTGCCTTTGGTGTCCATAAAGCAGCTAATGTGCATGTTCCAGTGTGTTTCGTTGCGACTGATGTCCACGTCGACGTCACGTAATAAGGCCACCTCGTACATCTCCAACTGCACGCTCTTCCATAGGCCCATTGAAGGCACCGCCGGTCCCCAGTCCCATGCAAAGCTCGCCTGCATCTTGCGCAGCATATTCACATGGCACTCGCCATGATAACGCTCTGGCGGACAGGCTGGAGGCACACTGCGATTTGCGGCGTCCAGAGCTCGCGCCCTAGCTAGAGCTGCCCACACGGGCGATTTGATTTCCACCTCCAGCACATTGTCCCTCTCCAGGAGCTTACTCACGTCGTACGAGTAGCGCACAAACATATTGTCTGTGCGTCCCAAGAGCTGACGATTCAGCCGAATCTCGGCTACCGTGTCCACACCATGGAAGGTCAGATTAAAGCAGCGTACGCGCTTATAGTGATCCACATCAACTGCACGAGTTTGGGTTTAAATGATCAAATTGTCGCTGCACTGGATGTCAATGCTGCACTCACACTTGAACTTGTTTGTATATGTCCAATTGTCGTAGGCCATCCAACGGAGATCCACATCGTTGTACGCATCCAACACATTGGGCACAGCGAGGGTCCGGTGGAAGGCACTGTATATGCCAGAGGGCAGTGTCTGATTAGCAGGTAGGGTGAAAGCTGAAACATATAATGGCACACCATAAACAATACTCAAGGAATGGCTTTCATCTATTTGATAAACTAATAATGCAACTAAGCGCGCACCGAAAGCTTATCGATAAGCAAAATTCGCCCAATGCTGATTGTATGGCAATTCATGAAATGTGTATTTCTTGATTGTTGTTGATCATTGTTGTTTGTTAATTGGATTAATCGAATTGCCACTGACAGCTGCCTAATAATAAGCTGATACTTACACCCATTCTGATTAGATATACTCCAATTAGTGCCCAGCACGATAATTTCGACAGCGTCGCCTTTGACCCGCGTCCCCATCAACAGGTGGAGCAGCAGTCCAAATCTGAGCAATTTACCGTAATCGGTGTCACCAGCTTCCCCAAGTAGCCAGCCCCTCATCTTTTGTTTTGACACAACGACTGCCACGATTTATTTACAAATATTTATAAACCTCTTTAAGATGCTGATTTATTGCTAAAAAAGCAATAATTCAAATTATTTCATTATGTATAAATACACTTTTTCCTTAAGAACTTAAAATTCGTACCACTGCTTCCCAAAGTGCAAATATTTATACGTCTGGCACCGGGAAGGGCTGCCGAGAGACTGCTTGATAAGTGCCGGTCGGTCGGTATTTGACGATCGCCGATCGTCGGGTTCTAGAGAGCGTAGAAATGCTAACAGCGAGACAGAGAGAAAGAGAGAGCCAGAGAGAAAGATTCTGGGTGCTCATAGCACTAGCTAACACACGAATGCAATCATTTGATTAGTTTTCATGTGTTTACTCTATATATATTTGTTAAATATTATTAATATATCAAATATATATTAATGTAGACAAATAAGTATTATATGTTGGTCGCTTGTCTTGAGCATTAAAACGTGAATGGGTTGTAAGTAAACACAGGCAATTGCAAAGTTAGAAATAATACAAAAAATTGTTTACTATAAAAAGCTTAAGTAAATATTTGTTTCCGCTCGTCAATGTTAGATTTGATTACAGTACTCCAAAATAATATATTTATTTGTTGGAAACCCTCACGTGAATCGAAGTGAGAATGCTCTAGACACGTGACAGCTCGACTAGGCGATACCCTTAACCCTGAGCAAATAAAATTGGATATATATAGCTTTAGTGGCAATCAATTTTTATACCCTGAACCCATTGAAAATGGGAAATCAGGGTATAATGGTTTTGTGAAAAAGTATGTAACGGGCAGAAGGAGGCGTGGCAGACCCCACAAAGTATATATATTCTTGATCAGCGTGACGAGCTGAGTCGATATAGCCCTGTCCGTCTGTCCGTCCGTCCGTCCGTCCGTCCGTCCGTCCGTCCGTCCGTCCGTCCGTCCGTCCGTCCGTCCGTCCGTCCGTCCGTCCGTCCATCCGTCCGTATGAGTGCGTCGATCTNACAAATAAATTCTCATAATATTGCCCACACTGCAGCGCAGCCCAAGCGCAGTCGCTGCTTACTGCGCAGTTAGCAGAGCGCAGGCTTATGCGTGCGTGTGGATGCATGTGTATGTATGTGTGCATAAAAGAGGTGCAGAATAATTAGAATATCAGCTTAGAGGGTTCAGGGTATCTCCTAGTCGAGCAGTCTCGACTGGAGCCTTCTTACTTGTTAAGTAAGGATTTCATGAAATTTATTGAGATAATTACATTTCCTGATATAATTACATTAAATATTAATTATAATTTTGAAGTGACTGAGAGATATCCATTATCTTGATCTGTTATGTTCCGAAATTTGAGCAAATATGTATAATTAGCTACAAATGTGTTTTGCAGGCATTTTGAAGTGTTTCTTATCAACATTGTTAAATAGATTAGAGAAGAGCATGAAAACCGTATATAAACAAAAATATGGGATGGTTGTTATGCATTAGAAGCAGGCATTTAGGATTTATTTTATGTTTCAGGAATATTTCGTTTATCCGCAGAGCAAAACACTTTACATACAAATTTCATATTGAAAAACAAAGCTATCTATAGTCAGGGGCGTGGGCACAAAAATTGAGAAACTTTGTATGTTAAATTTAGACGTTGCATTGTGAATCAGATTCTTGAGCAAGCTTTAAATTCTTTATATAAAATCGACTTCTAGTCGCTATGTATATAATATGTGTATATATGTATATACATGTATTTGGTCATATACCACTTAAATCATATATTGATTCATGGTCTTAACAGCGATCTGCTGCGCACTAAGTTTTATGCAAGACGAATCGTTTTTGAAATCCAAGTAGATATTTTGCACCGGCACCGTCTGTGTGAACCCATTCATTGAGAAAGTGTGCATTTGATTTGCAAGTTCCGGATCAACCAGCTCCAGGTAGACGAACAGGGCTGGGTACTTAACGGTAATGCGCAAGCTGAAGCTGTTTGCATAGTTCAGGTTTGAGTTAGTGCAGTCGACACCGACAACTTCGAGCTGTTTAGATAAAAAAATTATAAGAGAGTGTAAGAATATTGAGTACGGGCTTACCGTAAGTTCCGGATCTCTCAGTCCAACAATATCCTTAATCGGCACCGGGTAGAAATAGTTTTTAGCCACAACTCGATTATCCTCATCCCTTAATAGAATTTCCAAGAAAATTTCCTGCTTGGAGTGATGTTCGTACAGGACAGACTCCAGAGGTATGGCCAGCTGATCAATCGCACTAGAGCGCTACAAAAATAAGGCAATATTAAATTCCTAATAATATATATGGTTTTTGGTGAGACCTACTAAACCGATGGCTCGAGCGATAGCCTTTTTGGAGAATATGTCTTTCCATAGAAATGTATTAATGAAAATATTATAGAGCTTTACATCGGGACTTTCCATATGTTCTTCACGAGTTACAGTTATATTCAGCTGATCGCGGGCATCGTTATATAGTACAATGATATTAGTGGATGCCAGGAATTCCTTGGCCCAATAGTAGACGATCTTGTAGTTGCCGAAGAAATCAATGCAGGACCAAGTGGGCGCTACCCAAACATCATTCAGCTGCCACATAAGAGCACCCATTGTCTCATAGTTGCGACGCCTGCTTCGAAAGACATCCATAGCCAACTTGGTGGTCATCGCCTGTGACACCTGACTGAAGTAGATGAACTCGTCTATGTTGTCCTCCCAGTTCTGAAGTGTGAAGGGAAGCTGGTAGGCTATTTGCCGTAGTAGTGGTATAAAGCCTTTGGGATCATGCTGACGTTGGCGTATTAAAGCCGCTAGGCTCGCATCACTCGTATCCTCGCCAAGCAGACGTTGCCAGGACGAGCGCATGGGCAGGCTAGCGTAGCCGAACTCAGAGACGAAGCGAGCCGGTGGATAAATATTCTGTGCAAGCGCGTCTCTATCATCTTCATAGAGGTGAACTGCAGACATAAAATGGAATTATTATAATTGGAATTACTAAAGAAATAATTATAATTACCGTCGCCATAGTTTGGACTCTGCGGATCCTTGGCTAGCTCTTTGCCGGGTTCGATTACGCCCAGCGAAGGCGTGGAAATCATGGGACCTGGTCGCGGACTAAAATCGTTCCGCGAGATTATGTCCAGCTCAGCGCACAGATTGCCCATGAAGAGCAGCTTATATTCGTCCTCCAGGCGCTTCGCTTCGGTTCCAAAATCAGTTCGATTCTTCACCAAATATAGTTCGATCTCATTGTTGGTCACAATCAGAGCCAGGCTGGCATGGTAGGCGATTCGTTGGGCATTTTGCACTGCCTCCTTCCGCATGGAAGCCATGCGCTTACCATCGATGGGATAGGTGGCCTTTGTGAAGGTCATGTCCTGCCATACCAGTAGCCCATAGCTATCAGCCAGGCTGTAGAAATAGTCCGACTCATAGAGGCCACCACCCCAGACTCGAATCATATTCATGTTGGCATCAAAGGCCGATTTCAAAAGATGTTTCACTGTCAATAAACGGATTATTATGGAATTCCATTGATTTACTCGGGTGCCAATCACTCACCTTTTTCCGTATCGGCTGATAGTTCAGGCAAAGTGTGAGCCGGCACATAATTCACGCCCTTCATGAAGATGGGATGGCCGTTAACACGGAAATAAAATGTTCTACCCCTCTCTGAAATAGTACGGATGTATTTAGTCACTCTTCGCTTTGGATCATAATGATCTTACCATCCTTATCCTCCACTAGTTCGATGGTGCGAAAGCCAATATGTAGCAGCTTTTGCGAATCAGTTCGTAAGTTTAACCTGGGAACGCCCTGGCTGCGATAGCCCTTCAAGTCGAACAGCACAGGATAGAGCTGCTGTTTCCCATAGCCATTTGGCCACCAGAGCTTGACTCTCTCCTAAGCAATGTTAGTGATAAATTAAAGCAGTTCATATTTGCCTATGAACGTATTTACGTACTTTTGGTATGTGAATCTGAAACTCCAGGGTGGGTGAGGCATAGGTAACATGCTTCTCTTCCACGATAAATGGTTCATCCAATAGTTCGCTAGAGACGTGAGAGAGATGAATATATGATATATTGGCTAACTGTTGTAGAGAGGGTACAATGCTAATTTTCTAGCTTTAAGTTTCTAGGCTCCCACTTACCTGGCATATACGATAAGTTGCACATAGAAATTCTCGGCATCGCGTGTCTTTAGGAAAGCACGACAGTCCATTGTCCAGTGGGTGTCATTACGCTTGATCGCCACGTCAACATCTCGCAATATTGCAACGGTATAGTACTCGATGGTTACGGGCTTCCAGATGCCGGATGACAGTGCGGCAGGATTCCACTCGCCACCAAAACTCATTTGCATCTTGCGCAACATGTTGCGATGGCATTCGACATCGCCGCGAGATTGCGGGCAGCTGGGTGGAGCACTATTACCATTCTGCTCCAGTTCCTTGGCACGTGCATTTGCCTCTAGCAGCGGTGAGAGCAGCTCGATCTCTAGTTGATTATGTTTCGGGATGAAGTGCAACAGATGACCCACCGAGTAGGAGTACCGGACGAACATGTTGTCCGTTTCGCCCAGAAGCTCGCCATTTAACCTGATCTTGGCCAACGTATCAATGCCATGGAACGTCAGATTGACTAAGCTGTCCTGGCCCGATTCGTCAGCTAGAAATTTGAATATGTAAAGAAGATTAGGAAAACCATGAAAATAGGGAATCTGCAAGGCTGCTCAAACCCAAATCAAACGTTGTGCTGTAGATCCACGTTTTGTTCGCAATCCAACGGAGCTTTACATCGTTGCCCGGCCCCAGTATATCTCCATATTCATCCTTAAGAGCTGTATAAACGCCGGAAGGTAATTTTGCCACCTTAAATTGCTTCGCTGAAATTACAAAACAAATACGAAGCGTTCCCAAATCACTGAAGTTGCAGTTAAAGAAATTTACAACCAATTAATTGCCCAAGCTTTGACAGCAACAAATCGAAGTCAACGTCAAATTCTTTATCTTATCGCACAAATACAACGCTGGGGAGGCCGGGAACAATGCGAATTTTAGTACTGAGCACTGAATCAAATCAATTTGATATTACTCAGCAAACGCATATAGACCAGAAATAGATCCGCTCAAGGCATAACTGTTACTCCAAATACTCACTGGAATTGGCTTCCCTCAAGGTCCAGCCCTTGGACAACTCATTGACTTGCACCTTCCTCGCGTCCAGTTGCGGCAGTGCGAGCATAATAATAAATATAAATATAAAGCATAACAAGTTTATTATTTTGAGCATGATTTCATTCTTTTCAATCAGCGTCGCATTTGGTTTCTTGACATCTTTCTGTATGCGCTTTGTTATTGTTTAAAATCTTATCACTGATGTAGACGTTCCTTCAATTTATTTGCCACACTTTTCCGAGCACAATGTATCGATTCGGCGTCACGTTAATAACTGAATCATTGGCAAACTCTACAAACATTTCGACCCATTTATTGTCAAGCTTATCAGCATGATTGGCTGTGGTGAGATTGGCTCTGCACTGCGTGGATATAGCCTAACATAATCTAACCACAGCGTTAAATTTACACATGCGGCGAAATTCAGGTGGCCTAAAATCATTTCTCTGTAGAAGGGAGACTGACTTTTAAAAGTGCATTTAGAGTTTTAAGCCTTTATCAATTAAAAATCAAAACAGATTTATATGAAAATAAAGCAAATATTGAATTCAAAGAAATTACAATTAAAATATGTATTTTAGTAAAGCAATGATTTAAATGAACAGAATAATATTATGTAGCTATATTGGTCCTACAAATTGAGTTAATCTTAATATGCTTGTCTTAAGACTAAGCCTTATATATGAATATTCCAGTGATATTAATGCTATTTTTAAATATTTTGATTAGCGAATATTTGAATCAATTGCCATTGCATATATTTTCATATATATATAGATTCATCTAAAAGTATAGATTTATCTAAATCCTTTTACTTATATATTTAAAAAACACAATTTTCATAAATTTTTAATAAACTGTACGTTTAATCACATTTAGAAAAATATACAGCGTTATTTCTTCTCTAAGGTATAAATTGCTTTATATTCATTATTATTATTTATAATATAAAGAAGTTCAACAGATATTTTGGTGAATTATTTTAGTTAAGTATTTTCGATATTTAAGAATTGCATTGTATTAATGCCTTTGCTTAAGCATGTTAAGTTCATAGCAGCTGGTTGCTTAGTGCGCATGGAATTTGAGGATCAAGCTAAAGAACTTAACTAGATACTAACAGTTAACATTGGTGTTTCCTTATGGTTAGTCCCGGATTCTCTCTTTTATTTGCATTCCTAACTAAAACTATTTAATTACACCCGACCACTTACACAAGCATACACAATACACCCACACACACACACACGCACACAGACACACAAATTTTCCTAGATCGCATCTATAGCTGCCACTTTGAGTGAATGAATGCTAGCAGAATCATCATCACCATCGTCAGCGCCAGCAACGGAAGTTGCGCATGGTGGTAGCTCTGACAGCCGCCGCCCATCGCCGCCAGGTATTCATCTTCGGTCAGGTACTCCCGCACATGTCGCGTCTTGTTCATCATCCAGTAGAAGGCCTTCATGTTGCCAAGTCGTTTCAGCTCGGCGCCAATATACTTGCGTATTTTGGCATTGTATCGATTGAGCATGCGCTTCTCATCCGAGCTCAGCATGGTGCCGTCGATGAGCTTCGGCTCGTAGGGCACCAGGGTGACGGATTGGAATGCTAAAAAGTGCTCAGCGCTGGTCGTCGTTTTGCCGGTGTCCAACACCTCCAGCACGTTCTTGATGCGCACGCCATAATCATCGCGTTTGTAATAGCCAGACTCTAAATTAAGGAAATGAATAATTGGTTAGGACGATATCCTAATGAAGGGCATGCCTCAGCTACTTACCACTGGAGAAGAAGTAGCCCTGCTTGAAATGGAAACTGTTATTCTGTCCGTAGGCCACCGAGATAGGAGCTACATGCAAAATACATTGTTAAGTCATATTGAAGATTCATAGTTGATCCATTTCACACTTACGCTCCTCGACAGAGCCGTAGGCGCCAATGCCATGACCTGTTGCCTGAGGGTAGTCGGTCATCTCGTGCCACACCTTGGCGCGCACAACGCTGTCCAGGCCGGATGGCTTCACTGAGGCGGGAAATATTAGGTCCGATATGTGCAGAATGCCCGCTAGCACGGCTGTGTATGCCCTTTTCATATCGCGCGTCGGCTCACCGAAAATAAAGGTGCGCGACATATCCGTTGTGCCCTCCAAGTACTGCACGCCGGATTCGATGACCAACAGACTCTGGTCAGAGACTTCAATGTCCGTCAGATTGTTGGAGATGTAGTAGGGCAGGGCTGAGTGCTCGCCGTAGGCGATCACTGTGCGCAGCGACAGGCCCTTGGCATGGGTCTGCGAGAGCAACCAGAGCTCTACCTCGTACTTGATCTTCTCCTCGGTCCATTGCTCCGTATCGAATCGGGCCTCAAGGTTGCTCATTGCCTCGCAAATAGCAGCGGCATCGCGTATGTGTGCCAAGCGCATGCCCTCCTGCTCCTCCGAGTTCTTCTGCGCGCGCATGAAAATAATTGGCGAAATGTGCTCTACGACAACGTTGGCAGGCACGGCCGAATAAATGGCTTCCGAGGCACCCGGCTCCTGGACGCAAGGCGCTGGCACAAGGATGCGCCTCCAGATTTGCACATAGGTTCGTATATCGCTCCATATGTGCTTGTACTCCTTAATCCTGCAGAGAATGAGTAAAGTGTATTAGTGAATAGATAAAAGATATATAATATCTATTTTATATAAATAAATGTTTAATTCA